GCTAGATACCAATGTTTATGGATGAGTGATATGCACACTTGGTGTCTGTAACTTATGGCCTGACATACAGCACGTTTGTGTGCAACACAAAGATCCTGCAGAACAAGCAACAAGCTGAATTTGCCAGGTACCCGCTCTGAGTTCTGCGTCAAGTTTTCTCCATATCGACTTTGTTTCGCATGTTTGGTAAGATTGAAAGCTGAATATTGATAAGGCAGGCTGGGTCATTAGCAGAGGATTTAAAAGCAAAGTTCTCCCTTAATTTGCAATTCGCTACTGCCTAGTGATGATCACTCCACACTACTTGTCAAGAACATAAATGATGGAGTGAGGTGCTCCTAATGTTGAGACAGGCCTCCCTAGACTTCTCATACAGTCCTGCCACAAATCGCGCCACAGCCTGCATTGCTCAGACCCCTATAAGATTCTGCCTTCAGTCTTTCCTGCCTGAGTTAAAAACATAATCTGATTTATGACCTTTCTAGGATGGGGAATGGAAAATTTAAGGGTGGTATTTATTTGAGATGGAGGAATGTAATGTCAAACAGGCATACATATGGCCAACCGTGGGCTCTCCTCTGGATCAAGACCCTGAAAGATCCCAGCCAGTCAGAAGGTAGCAGCACCATGGTGGGTAGCTCCAGTAGGAGTGCTGGCTGCTGCAAACCATGTACGAGAGGAGGCCTAGGATCTCTGGGTGAGCCAGGCCACAGGAGAGTGAATGCTGGGTGGGGCTCAATTTTCTGAAGAAGGGTCTGGACCCGAAACGTCAGCTTTCCTGCTCCTCTGATGCTGCTTGGGCTGCTGAGTTCATCCAGCTCTACACCTTGTTATCTCAGATTCTCCAGCATCGGCAGTTCCTACTATCTCTAACACATTTTCATTTTACCTCTTCCATCAAAATAGAAACTCGATTTCCAAAATTCAAACAAATGCCAGAAATTATTAATCTATGGCAGCAGGCAAAACCAATTAAACTAACAATAAGGGTCCTATAATTTTTGCTGGAAGGGCCAATTTTTTTTTGCACAACTACTTCATTAGTAGTAAAAGAACCTGTTAATTAGCAGAATATGCAGTATGTCCCACCAGTATACTATTAATCAGCAGTGATGTAATAGATCTAACTTCAGGTGGTTATGGAATGAAATGGCTAAGGAACACACCAATAGTTTCGACTCTAGGACTGAACTCAGAATTTTGCAGTATATCAATCATTCACATACATCAATGCATTGTGAAGGCCCTTTTAAAGCTTTCATTTAAAATTTTTACTTCTCAAACCATTTTCAAAATAAAATTATGATTGCTACATTGTTCCCATATCTACGCATTATTCAATCTATACAAACTGGTCTGATAGTAGGGTATTTTCATAGTTCAAAAAGAATGCAGTGCACATATTATATGACCACCAGTGGCCAAAACTACAATTAGAGATTATTGCCATTTCTGGACTAGCATGTCCTGGATTAACAATGTCAAAAGTACAGCTTTAGCTCGTGATAATTAATTAATTATCTTGTGCAAAACACCTTTTCCCAAACTTTCAGATTTGGAGCAAGTACTGGACTATAATGTGACTTGCAATTAGCTGGACAAAATGTTAAAAATCTGCTATTTTGAATCCAGTACAGACATTACAATAAAACTGCTTCACATTTAACTAACAGGAATTTTCCCTCATCAAAATTTAAAATACTAAATGATGTACAATAATTTAATATTATGGCTGCTTTGAATAGAAATGTATATATTGACCACTAGGAGGCATTCAGCAGCTGAATAAGCATCATCTACCCTCCGTTTCCTCTCCTTTAGCAGTGAGTTGAGATGTAAAATAGGTGAGGTAAAGGTCAAGCATGCACGTCTGTATTGTGTTCAAGTGCTACACCATTCTGCTGCTGAGTATTTCCTAAGTTGAAATGTATAATTAATCTACATTATAAATAATTATTCAATAAGAAGCCTTTTTGTTTTAATAGCATTAAACAATAATATTCATATTCTACTGTGAAATATATTTACAGGCGAATAACTTTCAACTGCCTAGTAGTAGAAAATAAGTAACTCCGGAGCAAATTTTCAGCAAAATTATAGAGGGCTCCAAGAACCAATGATAACAAGGACTTCAATTATCCTAAAAGAATGGATTTTTGACAGTAATGGCGTAAAGGGGAGAAGGAAAAGAGCTCCTTCACGTTAAGCTCCCTTATCAAGTCTGTCTCATTGCACAAGACTAAGTCCAAAATTGCCAGTTCAGTAGTAGGCTCAGAACAACAAAAGATCAGAACAACTGTTTTTCTGATCTACATTAATGCCTAGGCTTTGGCGTATAGGGCACAATTTCAAAATTTGCAGAATGGTAAAAAAAAACTTAGACTTCTAGACAACGGATATAAACTTGAGCACTGGACAGTCATTTGCAGATGCAATGTAGTGAAAAGTGCAAAGCGATACATTTTTGCAGGAATAACAAGGGGAAGAAAGAAGAAAATGAAGGAATTAAAACAAAGAGCAAAACAAAGGTGTAAAGAGATGTGTACATATTCAAATCAGTGAAGGTGGCTGGGAAGTTGAAAAGTAGTTAAAAAGGTAATTAAATCTTGGGTTTTACAAATAGAGGCAGACTGTACAAAAAGCAAATCACTATATAACATTGAATTGGCTGAACTGGCATTTTATGCCAAAATGTTGAGCACCCTACATTAGGGAGGAATAAAACACAAGATGGAGTAGTAGGAGGTCATTCAACCCCCCAAGCCTGCTCCAACATTCAACATGATCATGGCTGATCATCAAACTCAATACCTTAATTTCCCACCCCCACCATATCTCTTGATCCCTTTGGCCTGAAGAGTTATATCTACCTCGTTCTTGAAAACACAAAGTTTTGGCCTCAACCACTTTCTGTGGTAGTGAATTGCAGGCTCACCAGTCTCTAGGTTAAGAAATTCTTCCTCATCCTAGTCCTAAAAGATTGACCCCACATCCTTAAAATTTAGTTCTCACATTTTTTTCTCTTTATATATCTATAGAAACTTCTACAGTCAGTTCTTATGTTAAGCTTATTCATACTCCATCTTCTGCTTTTTAATAAATCCCTTGTGTCCTTCCTTGCTGATTTACAAAGTGTACCCAATCCCCAGTTCTACTATTCTTTTCTTGCTAATTTCTATGTCTCTTTTTTGCATCTGATACTAACTTCCCTCTTAAACCATGGTTTGGCCACTGTTGTCTTTGCATTCTTGTCCCAGACAGGGATAAATAATTTTTGTAGCTCATTCATTTACTCCTGGAACGTTTGCCATTACCTATCCATGGTCATTCCTTTCAGTAACATTTCCCAAAGTCAACTCAATCCTCATACCCTTGTGCTTTCCCTGATTAAGATTCAGGACCCTAGTCTCAGAACCAACTACCTCACTCTATATCTTAAAGAATATTATGGCCATTCACCCCCAAAGAGTCAGAGTCACACAGCAGTACAGCATGGAAACAGGCCCTTCAGTCCAACCGGTCCATACTGACCAGATATCCCAAATGCCAACATTTGGCCCATATCCCTCTAAACCCTTCCTATTCTTGTACCCATTCATTTGCCTTTTAAAAAGTTGCAATTTTACCAGCCTCCACCACTTCCTCTGGCAGCTCATTGCATACATGCACCACCCTCTGTGTGAAAAAGTTGTCCCTTAGGTCCCTTTCACAACTACACTGCTAATTATTTCTTGCTCATTTGATAATACCAGTCTAAGATGGCCTGCTCTTTATGCAAATGTGAAATGTTTAGGGTGGGTGCAGGTAAGATTTAGACCAATAATTCCAGAGATGGGGGACTTCAATTGCACGGATAGACTGTAGAAGCTGGGGTTGTTTTCCTTGGAGAAGGGGAGGTCAAGAGATGATTTAAAAGAGGTATTCAAAGTTATGAGTAGTTTAGACAGACACAGTAGATAGAAACTGATCTCATTGGTGGGAAAGTTAAGAAACAGAGGACACAGTTAAAGTGATTGAAAAATGGTGAAGGTAACATAGAAAACAAACAAAAAAGGAAAAAAAAAAAACCTATCAGTATTGATCTGGAACGGACTACCCAGAAGTAGTGGTGGTGCAGAATCAATTGTGGATTTCCAAAGGGAATTGGAAAAGCACAAGGAGGTAAATTTGTTGGGCTACAGGGAAGGGGCCATTTCCTATTAGAAGCAATCAGTAGAAAATAAGGCGTAAAATTCCCAAAATTTCAAATATACCTTACAAAATTAATGACAAAAATTTATGGCACTGATGAATTTTAAAAGCACACTTACAAATCATATTGTATAAAAACAGTAGACATTAATTACTGAATAGAATATACTTTTACTACTGGGCAGAACATTGTATTTCCTTCTAATGGTGAAGAAAACGAGAGGCAAAATGCTTTAATGCATTATAAAATTGTACTTTACAAATTATGAATAATCCTATAGAATATTTTTCACAAGGCATTCAGATGGTAACAAATTTGAAAGTAAAGTGTGGCTCACCAGCTCAATCCAAATTTGGAAATGCATTATGATCTTTAAACATTTCTAGTCAAATTGTTCTTTTTTTATTGAATAGGCAAAGTCTGTGGGTAAAAGTACAACTTATTTTTGGTAGTGGAAATACATATGGTCAATTCATGCTATTAATCTGTAGCAACCAGAGTGTGTTAGAAATATTGGCTTAGTATACATTACACACTGGGATAGTTTTCTATTCTACTTGTTAGCATGATGTGGGAATTGCTGGCTAGGACCATTACTAATTGCCCTGGAGGTGGTGGTGGTGGTGCTGAGCTGCCCCCTTGAACTGCGGTCCTTGGGATAAAAGGCATATCCACAGTGCTATTAGGAAGGGAATTTCTATTTTTGAATCCTTTCCCCTCAAACATTTGGCATTGCTTTCAATAAGTGTGTATTTTTTAAAATTAGCTTTCAAATTCCAGGTGTTTTGTTTAAACAAAACATTCACTTCTGAAATCTTTGGATGAGGGATTTAGTATGATGACGGTATTTTATGTACAATAAGACAGCTATATTTGTATTATACCTGGGTACCTATGGAAAATAAACAACTTACCAGTTTGATGGCCACGTATTCATTTGTGTATAAATTCTTTCCTAGATGAAAAAAACAAAAGAAATAAGACAAAGTTAAAAAAGGGAAACACTTAATCAGTAATGCGTTATTGCTAATTTAGATATGCAAATTCCTTTATAATAATTCTTTAATTGAAGAAAAAGGTATAAAAATAACTAATTAATGGATGTCATTCTGTAATATTAACCACATTCAGGGGTTCCGGTTAGGTGGAACTGTTTCCTTTAGTATACCACAACCAAAATCAACTAAATCAGAAGGTTGAAGAATTCTAAGCACGAATTACTTTTGGCTAACTTAAGTTTCACAATTGCTTACACCAGTCTAAAAACATTGCCCATAAGAGAAATTATGCTCAGAGATCTAATTTATTGCCACTGAATTTCCAGTAACTGAGTCTGAAACAGGCACATCAAGGAGACTCTAAATTTTGAATTTTGTTTTAGAAAAAAAAAGACAAAAATAAGAATAAATGTGTTTTGAAAGCTTTTAATGTATGATCTGAACTTTACAGGGGTAATCACAATGAAACTGTCAACGTTCAAAGTCTTTGTTCTGAAAAACTAAGAGTTACTTTTGTCACAATCACATGCAGTTAAAGCTCAAATCTACAAATTTCTGGCATAGAACTATACAACTGAAGTACTCTTAGATGATAATCCATTAGAAATCAAACTGTCATAAACACTCAATTCTTAACCTTTATTATGCTCACCTAAAAATGCAATGCTTTGGTGAGTTAAGTGCATGTTAACTTTTTAAATGCCATGTCAAGTCAGAATTACTTATAAGTGATCCCTCAGTTGCTGAGAAATCCTTGGAATCAAGTTCATAATTCCATAAGAAGTAAATACATGTTTTTAAATGAAATATTTCTTAATGTTTATATTGCTATACAATTTATTTCTTAATCCTGTGTGTATGGCTAGACCTCCCATTTCAATTTCTGTGGAATTAATAAAACAAGTGATAAAATTCACTTGTACCTCCACAGCATCACAGGACCTTACTGGCTGCTGCTCGTTTGCTGACTTTGTTCCTTAATGTAACAGCTGCCAGGTTGTTTGATATTATTATTGAGAGACCTGAAGGGCCTTTAGGTGGTAACACAATGAAATTCATGTCAGCAGCAATGAACCTACATAAAGCTTGTCAGATCTTTGTGGACAGCGTGCTTTAACATTGGTGGTAAGCACCACCACTTTGCCACAGACAGCAAATTCTGAGCTGCAACATTTTAATTTAATAAGCACCTAATTACTATATGCCAATGTAACTAACAAATGCTTTGAAAGACTGTACTAAGTTATTTTCAGTTATTTAAAGCCAGGTTAGACTCAGGTGGTGAACCAGGATGATTAAAATATTTATGTTGTGATAAAATCCAGCTTCACCCATATTGATAGAGATGCATTACATTACCACAAATTATGAGTTTTGAAATTAAAATATATGTTATCAAACACTACCCGAGTGTACTGGCTCACGGTAAAATTTAGTTTTGGCAGAATGCAAATGAAATTTCAGAGATTTGGTAAGAAAACAAACTTTTCAAAACAAGCAAAACTTGGAAGTGTAACCTGTGCTGAGATCACAATTGGTGTGTAGAAGAATAAATACTGGTAATAATTCCAGTGTTGTGGAACATTAGCTTGGTCTTCTTCGAAAAACAGATCATGAGGGCAGAACTGTTCAGTGTTGTGGTCAACATTTACTGAAGCCAAAAATTGCCAATGCCCCATTTCTGAAACTACAAGTGACAGTATTTTAGGACTACTTTTAAAAAGCACTTTACAAGCTAGTAAAACTGTTATCTTTCCTTTATTCATCAGTCAATAAATGTAATTCTGAAAATTATGTCTAGCCTATGTGATATTACAGCTACAGTGTGTCTAAAGTCCTTACCTTTCTATTTGAAAAAGTATCAGTTATTGTTAGAAGTGTGAAGGATAATTCCAAGATTAATTCTGGAATTAAAAGGGGACAGGAGTACCAGGGAAGACTAAATATATACGAAAAGAGTAGCAATTTTATTGAAGATTTATAATAAGACTTTGTTGAATGAAGAATCAGATAAACATTTAATAACCAGGCTCTCAGTTTTAAAGTTAAGAATGACAGGCATGTCTCAAGACTCAAAATTCGAGATAATAAAAATTATGGTCAGTGAAGAGTTATCACATTTGCAAATGAAATGAAACAGATATTCTTAAGAGAAGACAGATTGCTTGAAGCGTGCCAACTTATTCCACTTCTGACCATGGTTTAATCCTAGAAGTAATTAGAAATAATTCTAATTTAATTGTGTCTTTACTTGCAATTCTAAATTTTTACAGTCAGTTTTGGACTTCTACCTCTAAGAAGAGGATGGCAAAGGATAGATGAATAAACTGATCACAGCACCATGACGAAGGTTTGGGAAAACAGGGACAGTAGAAAGGAATGTGGCAACAGAAGACATTCCATCAAGCAGATTGACATAGTTCTCTGCAGCCATTACCAAGAGTTCTGTTCTGCCTGCCTGGCACCATGGGTTCTAGACATCTCACAGCTAAAGATCTGAAGCAGACAAGGGAGGAATTAGAAGCTAAATAAGAAAGAACCAAAAGGATTATTATGTCTGGATTACTATTTCAACAGATTCAGAAATCAACATGTGGCTAAAAGGAGTGGCGTAGCACACCAGACACAGTTTTGGAACAGAAAAGGGACTGTACTATTGAGATGGACTCTGTTTGAACAATTCTGGCCAGAATAGAAAGGATAAGCAGGGTATAATTACAAAGGTTTAAATAAATAAAGTTAGGCAAGTCGTGGAACGTGTGGATAACAAAAGCAGTGGAATTACTGTTCAAACACAAAAGAAATTTGAAATCATCCTTCAGATGTTGCAGGCAATAGGAAAGCTAAGAGGATAGAAATAAATTAAATCGCGGAGCAGAGTAAGAGGAGTACAGCAGTTTAGCAAAATTTGAAGGTGCAAGTTCAAGTTGAAGGATATAGCATAATAGTCATTACTGAGACATTCTCAGATGGTCAATACTGCAAATACAATATACTAGGTTTAAAGGTCTATGGGAAAGATAGAGAAAATGGTAGAATGATTGGAGCAGCCACAGGGACTAAAAACAAACATCATAAAATATGAGGTGTGCATGCAGCAAAAACTTTAAATATTAATTAAAATATATGAATTTAAGACACTTTCTTAATAGCAGCTATGAAGTTGCAGATTGTAGAAAGCCAAGATCAAACTAGCAGGTGGTAAAAGTTCTCATTAAAACTATCTTTAACTTCATATTGACTGGATTAAGTGGTCTAACATGGTCAGAGTGAGAAAGGAGTGACTTCATTGTATGCCTGGGATATGCAGCAATACATCCTGGAAGCAACAGGGTGGTAATCTGACCTAAGTAAGTCTCAGATTCTGTAACAGTAGTATTCAGCTGAATAGTGAACTAGCTAATAGCAATCATAATATAATAACCATAATATAATAGCCAAGATGCTAGAATTAGCCAGTGTTGATTTCTGACATAAGATGGAGACAGCCCCCAGGAACCAGACAAACCTATTAATGAGTAAAATAATAGGATAATGGGATGGATTTAAAAAAGAATTTACTGTGACAGAGAACAAGGGGAAAAACAGCTCAAATAGTCAAAAATGTCAGATAACTAGATAGATAGAAGACAACCAAACTGAAGCAGTAAAAATGTAAAAGTAGCAAGATCCTAAAGAAGGGAACTATACAAGCAATAGCAAAAGGTGACAAGCAGCGTCCGCGTATGCACCTGTCCAAAGTTTTCCATCACTTTAAAGTTATTTGTGGTCAGGCAATTACTAAAACCTATAATTAAGGATAGTGTGTTTGAAAATCAATTGAATTCAGCCCTGACAGACAATACGAGCCTGGCCAGAGAAACATATTTGGATACGGTGAGGGTGACCTGAAGAAGTGAACATGGAATATCTATGCATGGCATTGGCAAGGTAAATAATTGACCTGTTTGGCAATTGGTGAGGAGCAGGAGAGTTGGGATACTGGGCTGGTACACCGACAGGCAAAACATAAGCAGTGGTGACATATAAAGTTCAGTCTTAAGGCTTCAACTATACGTCATGGATAGAAAACCACTTATCCAAATTTGCCGATGACACAAACGATAGATAGTATTATAAAATAACGCAGATGGAAGCATAAAATTACAAAGATATTGATAGATTATGTGAATGGACAAAAATGTAGCAAACTGACTCCACTGGAAGTAAAAGCGTATACCCGAGTAAAAATGGGCAAAGCAGTCAGTAGACTTGGGAGAAATTTTGTTTTTAAAGATGTGAATTTAAACATGACTTAGATATTTAACCAAAATACTTAAATGATTGTTTGGCAGTAGAGAACTGGGGTATTGCCGAAAAATAAGTTTTTGTCAAGCATTCACCTTGCATTCATCAGGACGATTTGCAAAGGTACCAATTCAAGGAGAAAGCCAACAGTCGTAGTGTGAAAGGTGTACGCTGATTGGTTGGTGGGTGGAACTCTGGTAGAGGCATTGCTATGGAGAATGCACAAATTAAATGATTGACAATCAACTGTCAGGCTGCTTAAATGTTAAACAAGGGAGGTTGACAGGTCGATGATAACAAGGTGTAGAGCTGGATGAATACAGCAGGCCAAGCAGCAGAGGAGCAGGAAAGCTGACGTTTCGGGCCTAGACCCTTCTTCAGAAACAGGCCAATGTCCTGATCAAACACTGAGAAACGAACCAGCGAATGGCTGTTACCCATTTTGAAGAGTTGAAACAGAAGTGGTATATTTAGATACTATTTCTGCTCTTTCTTCAGAGTGCTATGCCACCTCCTTTTCCTTTTTGCCTATCCATCCTAAATGCTGAAGAATATCCTTTAATATCAATGCCCAATCTGGTCATCCTGTAGCCACGTCTCTGTAATGAGATTTCTTTTAAAATTTATGTCAATTTTAGATTCAAACCATCAAACCTTTGTGATTACCACATGTATTCAGACTGACTGCCTGTAACTGCTTTTTAAATATCCTTTATTGAGCCTATTGATGCATGTCTTCAACCATCTTCTGTTTTTGATTTTTATCTGTTTCATTTTACCAGTTCCACTCCCCCACCCGCCAAACTGCAGTTCCCCCTCGGGTTTCCATCACCCTGCAAATCTAGTTTAAAGCTGTTGAACTGGTGAGGATGTTAGTCTCAATGCTGCTAAGCAGCAGCCTGTTCACCTTGCACTGGTCCCAACTGCTCAATGCAAGAGCTCCTATCTGCCTGGTTCTCTTGGACTAATGTGGCAGTCATCCATTCCCTTTCTGCCTCCAGGTACCTAGCCTATAGTTCTGTGGGAAAGGGAGTTTCTACATTTTTACCCACACTGTAGCTGCAAAAGACGGAACATTTTCCACTTGTTTGGATTGGTGCAGCTCTAGCAACACTCAAGAACCTTGACATTATCGTGGAAGAAGCATCTTGAATATCACTTTCTTCACTACTGACTCACTGCTGTAGTAGTGCGTACCATCTATTAGATGCCCTATAGTGACTAACATACCAAGTCTCCTTCGAAAGTACCTTCCATATTCACAACTTTCATCACCTAGGAAGACAGCAGATGCATGTGAGCACCACCACTTGCAAATTCCTTTTCAAGTCACATATCATCCTGAAACCACTCAAGTTGAGTAAAAATCCAGGAACTCCCTCCCCCACAGAACTACAGGCATTCCTATTCCTCAAAGACTGCAATGTTACAAGAAGGTAGCTCACCACCTCTTCCTCCAGGCAACTAGTGATGAGCACCAAATGCTGACCTCTCATTCCTCTAAACACCGGTGAACGGAGTTGCAACTTGTTTAGCCTTTGCTGATAAGACAATTCCTTCCATATAAAGGGATCATCACAGCAAACCTTACCTTCTCTGAACTGCCTCCAATAAAATGATATCTTTCTTTCAATAAGGGGACCAAAACTACTCTCAGTTCTCCAGATGTAGTCTAACCAGCACCTTGTACAGTTGCAGTAAGACATCGCTACTCTTGTACTCTAATCCCCTTAAGATAATCACCAACATGCCATTAGCCTTTTTGATTACCCACTTCACCTGTTTGCTAGCGTAATTCACTAACTCAAGCAAATTCAAACAACACTTCCAATACTCACTAAATTGGAATCCATATTTGGGGATTTGAGGGTTCTTTTAAAAAAAAATGCAGCATTTTTTGGGCTGGGCCCAGGTACTCAACAGTGGAGGTAGTGGTGGTCCAGCAGATCGAGGGATGGACTTTGTGGCTTTGTTTTTCTGGCAGCAAGAACTCATGGAAGTGGTGGTGTTGGGCGGGGGAAGTGACTGCAGGTGGGATAATTTCTTTTATTTCTGCTTCTGTTTTTACTCTGGTCTTTTGTGTAGGAAGATGGTGCCAGAGAATGGCTTTTTATTGTACTCGAGTACATGTGACAATAAAATCTAAATCCAAAATCTATACAAAACTAAGGCGAATGAGAATATGTACACTAGGCTAAGTAGAGTAGAACATGGAAGGATAAAGATTATTCAGGATGTACAAGTTTAACTTTAGTAACCAGGCTAAGTACCAGTTTTTTGGATGACTTTGAAATTCATTAATGGGGTGAACATTGCTGGCGAGGTCGCCATTTATTGCCTACCTGGAAGTCCCTGATTGGAAAGGCTTGCTAGGCCTTTCAAAAGGGCAATTAAAGAGTCAACTGCATGCCTATTGGTCTAGAGTCACTCATAGGCCAGACCAGGGAAGTACTTCCTTGAAGGACACTAGTGATCTAGTTTTCACTGTTTCTCTGACAATCAATGGTTACCATTAGACCTGTCATTCCAATCTGCCATGGTGGATTTTGAACTCAGGCCCACAAAGCTTTACCTGGGTCTCTGGATTACTCAGTGACAAAACTGTAGCTGGACAGTCTATTTATGAGACATTCTGTTTTTAACAGTCAAACATACAAATCAAACTCAACCATTCATGGAAACAAAATAAAGGAAGGAATCAGCGATTTTGATGTCTCTTACCTAGACGAAGCTCTCCAAAATTCCCACATCCAATTTTCTTCCCCACCCGGAAGTTGGGACCCACCATTAAGACTCCAGAACTGGTCCCTGTACTCCGGCCACAGTTGGTTCCGCGCCCGCCAGATTTTGACATTCTTCTTGTTTCTTCCGTATCACCCCTCCCCCCACTCTTATCAAAATCCATAAGTTTGTGGTAGCCTGGCTTCTCCACGGTTACTTTGCCATGCAAACCAACAATGCCAAAACTTGGAATTTTAGAATATCATCACGTTTACAACGATGGGCTACTACAAGTTTAGCACCACCAAAGGTCTCGACAAATCTTCCATTTTAGTCTTCTTTTGTACATTTTTTGAGAGACAACACATCCTTAAGTCAAAGTTACAATAGAGATAGAACAGCTGAATTCCTTCACGTTCCTTCTTTGGTGTAGCCCTACAAAACAAAATAAATCAATGAGCATATTTTACGATGATAAAAATTCTCAATGTTACTGAATAAGAGAACTAAACATTCTTTGTTATGCAGGATAACTGTAGGAGTTTGCGATAATTGAAGGAAGAAATCAACTTGATCAATGTTGACATAAGCAAAATACTATGGGTGCAATAAATCTGAAATAGAAACAGGAAACACTGGAAATATTCAGCAGGTCAGGGTACATCTAACGAGGGGAGAAAACAGTTAAAGTTTCCAAGTTATCACCCAAAAGCTCAATCAAGGCTGAACTTGTAATTTCAGATCATGCATACATTAGATTTGCATTTTTAAATTTTGCGAATGTTTGCAGTTTAAACTGTAAGCATCACAGATTGCATTTTTCACAATTCAACCGAGCTTTGCTATCAAAAGGAGGAGAAAAAGTTTGCGCTAAGATCACCACCAATTCCTCCATTTGGTAACTAGCTACCAAAGATACAGGGAACTAACAAACCAAACTTTGCTTTACCCGTTTTCCTTGTGGAAAACATATTGCAGATGCTGTTGGAGATAGCAAGAACTGCAGATGCTGGAAGTCAGAGTCCTTGCTGTGTGAAGCTGGGGGAACACAGCAGGTCGGGATCCTTCATCAGATCCTAATGAAGGGTCCTGACCTGAAATGTCGACTTTCCTGCTCACCTGACGCTGCCTGACCTGCTGTGTTTCTTGCAAATGTTGTTGGATGCCTTCTTACTTGGCACGATCAGACTTCAGATGGGATCACACCTTTACATTTTATTTCTACTCCACAGCATTGAGCTTTAGTGCTGTAATGCTCTTACGATACAATCTAACATTCATAATTCAAAGCTGCTCAACTACAATGATCTAAAATAATTTTTGGCACTAAATTTCCACCTTCCTGTATCATTGCATTGACTAATTTAAACCAGATAATCTATTTTTTCAGCACAGAGAACTAAATTTGCTTTCATTGACAAACGAAGTGACAGTGGGAGCTAAAAGAAAGTTTAAAACTTTGAGAACAAAAGATAATAATGTTTCAAAAAGTACTTTAGTACAATGGTTCCCCAAACTATTTACAATTTATTAATCTTCATTGGAACAGAAGAAAAACTTTTTAAAAAAAATTGTGAAGAACAGAGAAAAAAAATAGAAAGCAAAAGATTTAAAGTCCTAAAGAAAGGGAGAGTTGAGGGGTGTGCAGGAATCAAATATCATTGCAGTAGGTTAAAAACCTTTTAAAAGACATTTACTTGAAGATCTTGTTAAGGTACAGAAGCAATTTATTCTAATTTGCTTATGGAAGCTCAAAGTATGCAGAAATCTTAGATTAAATATTTGCTTAAATTGAGTGCATTGATAAATATTTTGTTCAACAACCTAAGTGTTCAGTTCTAGGCTGACCTTCCCATCATGATGAGCAAACAAAGAAAATGAACTTCACTTTGAAATTCTATTGGAAGAGAGGGATATTGGTGCTGTGCTATCTTAAGAACCAAACAGGTTTGAGTTACTCCTCAAATATACGTAGCTTCACACACAAAAAAAGCAAAATATAACAGATGCTAGAAATCTGACATAAGTGCTGGAAACAAATCAACAGGGTAGATATTATCTGCACAGGAGGAAAACCTCGGGTTAACATTTCAGGTACCACCTGACACGCTGAGTGACTCCAGGCTTTTCTATTCCAAAATAACTGCACAGTCAACATTGTATTTTGAATATATACATACCACTACTACTCGAGAGAAGACAGGTGTATAACATTGCGCTTGTTATAAATAGAAAATATTCAAGTGTAAAACCATTTAATCCTGGTTAAATATTAGCTAATTTTTACAACATGATTTGCAATTTTGCTTAAAATATTTGAGTTTTTCAAATGGTTTGTAATAAAAAAAATGAAAGTAATTCTAGGAAGTACCCATGATCCAAATATACCATTTTAGTGCATTATTTGAATGATATACAAGTTTTGATCTTTCTTTTACCCCTGCAAGCTATAATGTTCAGTCAAAAGCAGTGAAGTGCATATCTTAAGAGTGAATTTGAGTAATTAAAAGTTAGAAAAGGCAACAACATCACAGGCATATATGGAGGAAAAATAAATCCCAGCATTATTAAAATTCAAACAGTGGAGCTCTCCAGGTGCCCTGGCCAAAATTATCTCAACCATAAACTTTCAGTTTAAGAAAAGGTTTTGTGAATTATAAATAAAAAAAAGGAGAAAATGCTGGAGAAACTCAGCAGATCTGGCATTATCTGTGCAGTGAGAAAAACAGAGTTAATGTTTTGCATCTGACATGACTCTTCAAAGTTCAGCAGGACTCTTCTTAGTTCAGACCTGCTGAGTTTCTCCAGTATTGTCCTTTTATTTCTGATACTCTGCATTAGCAGTACTATGCTGTTATTTGTGAATTATAGTTGGATTGGCCCAGGACCACCTCTGATCAGACCAAAAGTAGACACTCTTCAAAATGATTACCTTCCAGAACTGCAAGTATGAAACTAAATGTCCACTGGTTCCAAGACTGCTTAGTAGGATCAAAATTGATAGCAATGTTGTCCTACACATGGATCCTGATCAGTGATGAGCCAAAGTAGTGAAAAAGTTTACAAACAAAAAAACTTCGGAGGAAGAGAATCTTCACTCCAGACAACAGCATTATCCCTCAGTCCCAAAATCAGTTAACACAGGGCATGAATTCTTCTAAATTTTTATGTAACGTACTTTTCTAATCAACATTTCAGAGATGTTATTACACACCACAGGAGCAAATGGGACTTGAACCCTGGCTCCTGGTCCAGGTGTAGGGACACCGGAGCTGTTAAATTACCTTCAGCAAGACCCACCATCTTCAACATCTATGCGACCAGATTGCTACAGTACTTTGTTACAAACCATCCAATTAAGTGGCATTCAGCTATTTACTAACATTTTTTCCCTATATTTACATTAAACATGACCAGTTATCCAATTTAGACTTGTGAAACCTTGCAAGAACACAAGAGAGGAAAAAACAACTTTAAAATGTAAGTCATAAGAAATATCATAACAAAGAACTTACAAAATTAACAGCAGCATTTTTGAACTTCTAACCATCTCACTCCCTTTAAATGTTATATATATTTATTACTAATAAAATCATGGCACCTTTAGATACAATAAATGATCTTGTAGGGTACAAAGAATCTGTTCTTCAATTGGAGGATGGCATCAATTCCTTTTGAACACACTAGTGCTTATCTATATACAAAGGCCACGTGGGATAGGTATGTAGTGGTTGAAGAAAAGTCCCAAGTGTTCTGAAACTGGAATATCTATATAATTCAACACTTGGAGGGCATCTGGTCAAGACCATGGTGGCACAGTAGTTAGCACTGCTGCCTCACAGCACTAGGGACCTGGGTTCAAGTCTACCCTCGGACGACTGTCTGTGTGGAGTTTGCACATTCTCCCCGTAACTGCATGAGTTTCCTCCGGGTGCTCTGGTTTCCTCCCACAGGCCAAAGATGTGCAGGCTAGGTGGATTGGCCATGTTAAATTGCCCATAGTGTTCAGGAATGTGTAGATTAGGTGAGTTATAGGGGGATGGGTTTGGGTGGGTGCTCTGAGGGTCAGTGTGGACTTGTTGGGCCAAAGGGCCTGTTTCCACACTGTAGGGATTCTATAAATAAAAATAAAAATAAAAAGACAGGAAAGTTAGATAAAAGTATCAAATTGGAAAAAAAAAAACTCGTGTGAAACTACTTAGAAGCTAGTTAACCTACCAAAACTCTGAATAACATATCACAGAGAATCAAAACATTGGAAGGTTAATATACGTGCCAGTAATGCAGTAGCAGCCTTGGGAAAATCAGACTTGGATTAAACACAAATACAGCAACAGTTATGATTCATACTTCTTTTCTTACGTGGGAAGCTCTTCTCAATAGGAAGTCACTTATCAAATCAATATGAACAATGCACTTTGAACAGTAATTAACAAATCAGTAGAAAATAAAACCAATACTTTTTGTAATACAACACCTACTGAGGTTGCCTGGAGACGTTTTTCACATTTTTGAGGCTCATGGTGGTGTAATCTCGCCTTTTCTTTCATGTTTTGAAATGGACACTGATGTGTATTCTTCCCCAGACAACCAAATTGAAATATTGTAACTTGACTTTTTGGATGGAAAAATGTATGTCGGGCATGTATGTGCTCCAAATTCTGGAAAAATTGTTCTGGTTCATTTAAATGTATCCATTACACACCAGCATCACTTGCACCAGCAGATTGAGCCAATCAAATGCCATGGTGGAACAAACTGCAATAACCTGGAGATCATAACCAGTTAAATGTGTTTTGCAATAAAAGGCAGGTAGGAATGAAAAGAAAAAGTAGTTAGTCTTCAGGTAAAACTCCCGTCTCACTAGTCAAAATCTTTTGTCAGTGTTCAGTTCGCTTTCAAATCAAAGGCATTCTCTCAGAAATTTCACTCAAATGAACAAAAATGCCTCTGACATTAAAAAAAATGTAAAATCACACGACTTTAAATGTGAAGCCCTGTTTTAGGTCAAAAAACTGATCATAGACTTATTGGTTAAAAACCATATTTCAAAAGGACTTTTAGAACACTGCGTTTAAATCTTTCTTACTATAAGGAAAGATGTTGTTAAACTTGAAAGGGCTCACAAAAGATTTACAAGGATGTTGCAAGGATTGAGCTACAGGGAGAGACTAAATAGGCTAGGGCATTTCTCCCCCTAGGATGTCGGAGACTGACGGGTGACCTTATGGAAGATTACAAAGTCATGAGGGGCATGGATAAGACAGATAGTCAAGGTCATTTTTCTCAAGGTAGGAGAGTTCAAAACTAGAAGGCATAGGTTAAGGTGAGAGGGGAAAGAATTAAAAGGGATCTGAAGGGTAACTTTCACGCTGGGGGTGGTATATGGGTGGAATGAGCAGCCAGAGGAAGTGGTGGAGGCTGATACAGTTACA